TTGTACTTAAAGGAGTTTCAAATTAAGAGTGTAGTTTTTGTCAGTATTTGACACGATTTGACAGAGGAAATTAGAAAGTAAAGCCCCCTTTTTTTTCGTTTGACGTTCCAACAAACGATGAAAAAACTTTAAACTGACAGTTACCTCTACGTCGGGTCAATCGAAATGATGATAATATCAATGAGCGTTTGATAACTCTTACCAAGTAGGAACGTCGCAACACAAAAATTGCTTGCGAAACCATAAGGTATTCAACAAACTTTAGACTGATAGTTGCCTCTACGTTGGGTCAATCGAAATAATAATAATAGTAATCGGCGTTTGATAATTCGTACCGAGAGGGAACGTCGCAACATAAATGATGCTTGCGAAACCAGAAGGTATTTTGTTCATCCTTCCTGATCTCACTCGAAGACTCTTGATCTCACTCGAAGACTCTCGTCTCAATCGATCCATCCACAATGAATCAATTACATAAATTCCTAAATTCACTAGAGGCGTCTATTATTCACCCAGCATGTTTTTATCCACATGTCATCCCGGTTGTACTAACGGTTATCATCTGTTCTACAATTCCTCGCGGTTCAGTGATCTGGTACCGAAATGACGGCCTGAGGACGAGGCTAAGTGCGAAGTCGCTTTCATCGGTATAAAGATTAAAGAGCAGTGGCAGAGAAAACGATCGAAAATTTCTCGAATTTCATAGTGGGAGATAGCCTGCAGTGCAGGCATGTTGTTGGTGCGAGCTTACGCTAAAAGCTCGCGATCGTTTGTTCTACCAGCCATTTTTTATTTGCAGTTAGAGTGCACGGTGGCGGTGGGGGGCGGGGGAGGGGAGAAAAGACGTCTGCCCGAAGAGGCTGTTAAAATGCCCTACGCCTCCTGATTAGTTGCGTTTCACTGCATTTTCGGAAATAAGAAGGTAACCAATAAAAATGAGTTTATTTAAAATTCTTTGACAATGACTTCCGGCAAAGACAAACACACTTGGAGCCGAGCCGTCATATCCAGCTACATATAATGCGTAATGTCCGATAAGAGTGCGGGTGACAACTGTAGGCTTTGTGGAGTTTCCTTCAAAATTCAGTTCGGAAATCTCCCCAAGCAAAGCCACTCTTCATCAGAAAATATTTTCAAACCTTCGAAACGGACAGAGTGCTTTGGAGTTGTTTTGAGCGAAATTGTTCATCAAGTTGGATTTCCCTTGGTGCAAGATAGTTCGAGATTTTCAGATCGTGTTTGCAACCCATGTGGCCGTAAGATTCAAATTTTACCACTTTGTCAAGAATGCAACTACAATGACGTCTACCCCAGTGGAAACTAGCAAAAGAAACCTTGAATCGCCAGATAAAGCTAATCCACCGTGGAAGAAATCAAAAGCTGTACGTGTTCGTTCCCCGATTGGCAGGACTCCGTTGAAGGAAGTTCCTCCTCTCATGCGATCGAAAAAGTCTGTCACCTTTGAAAACGCAGTGAATACCTCGTCTGCCTTGTTGCTACAGGAAAGCGAGATGCTTAGTCATATGAATGTGAAAGATCTTCCAAATGATGGTGTGAAAATCGTGTTCATGAATCCGTCTGGAAACGAGACTGTGAGAATTCCCAGAGATTCCACAAAAAAAAACATTGGTGAAGAACGTTGCTACCAAACAATGGAGAGAAGCGATGAATGCGCTTTAATGCACGAAGGAATTAAGCCTGAACCAAGCCAAGTTTAAGGGAACCTCCAAGCTAGTGTCGCTCGAGTTTGACGAATACTTGAAATCTAATAGTGTAGTTTGATCGTCCGGGTGAGTGTAGTTCTGAGAAGGACTGTTGTCGGTAGTGGTGACTGACGTTTCGACAACCTGAGCGGAAGTCATCGTCAAAGTCAAGTGAAAGGTTGTTGTCAGTCAAACTACACTATTACATGTTACCCACGGGTTCAAACCATTTACTGTATTACTTGAAATCTAGATGCATATTGGAGGCGCGTAATCCGGACGAGCTCGCTAGTTTCTCGAAGAAAATTTTCATGAAAGAGGTGAGAATTTTCTGACCCCTCTGGTTTGACTGCGTTTGAGGTGCAAGTGGTTTATCGCAGAATGCTTCCAAAGAGTGCGGCCCAGAGACAAACTCTCTTGCTTTAGCGACAGTAACGCTAGCACGCTTAAGAAACGCCAAAGCCTCTGCAGTGCACTACCGAATTTGAACTTTTATGTTTCACAGTGGTGTTAAATATGGCGACTTGACAAGTTTAAATCATTTGGAGGTATGTATGTCTCCAGATTGACAGCTGCGGCTTAATCGAACTAATCAGGAACTCCATTCTTGGGCGAACGGAGTCTGGCAAAATAACAATGACTTTGGGCAGGCGTAATCTTCACTCCCTTACCCCCACCCATCTCCTTATTTTTGACCGTCGACCGCCCCCTTGGTATAAAGTTTTCCTCTCCCCAGCCTTCCGCTGCCATTACAATCAAAGATGGCGACCATAATATTCGTTATAAAATTATTTAGCACTCTCCAGCCTAAATTACGCCTGCTTTGCAGGCTAAGTGGGAGAATAAGAGCCTGTTCACATGGAGGTGGGGGACCCCAGGTTACAAACCGTAACGGACAGACAGGGAGTGTAAAATGTTCACATTTTGGAATATTAAGCGCTGTAAATCAACTATATTTCAAACTATTCCTTTTGACGTATTAAGTCAACGGTTCCTCGCGTAGCCTAACACCGCGTCACACGTTGTGTGACGCTTTCATGAATAAATACATATGTGTCCAAGAATGAATCTTTCGTCTTTCTCGAGGCTGGAGCTTAGGGCGCCTATATTCAAACTCCCTAATTGCAAGCGCAACAACAACCTTAAGAAACCTCACCCCAGCAACCCGGGGTTGTAAGACTGTAGGTAAACGCGTTTTATTTTTCGACCACGGCTAAGCGGGTTACCTCACCCACCTGGGGTCGAGTCCTCACCTACATGTAAACAGGCCCTAAAAAAATTATTTGCGAGAGAGGCATCACGTGAAGAGATGGCGGCAAAGGAACAAAACAATGCAGAACTGTTTGATTTATGAAAGAAAGCTGCAGTAATGAAGCAGATCAAAATTGCCTCTTGTGCCAAAGACCGCAAAAAAACTGTTGGAGGAGAAATTACAAACAACTGAGGGAAAATTTCCAGTACCAAAAATGTTTCATGCTTGGACTTACCACTTTTCTAACATTCAAGAGTTCTCGTTCTGACCTCACTTGTTTCGATGTCATTATTTAACCGTAGCGAGGGCTTTCTGTCGCTTACGAAACGAAATCGTAGTTTTTTTTTTAGATTGTTTTATGAACTCAAACTCTAAAATTTTTGAAATGGAAATTATGTAGATCTGTAATTTACAACAGTAGAATTGTAGACAACATAAGGCCACCAACGGCCAGGGTGAATTGGTCAGTTCACTACCAGCGTGGATTACATTCATAGCCTTGCAAATAATAACAACTTGAGAAAGAATGAAAGGAAAATCTTCCTGGTGTACTTTGCAAAATGTTCACTTGAGCGTTTACGATGGATAATTCGAATGCGTGACATGACATTTTATTTGAACTGGAAATCTCACACATTCCTCCTCAGCAGGAAAACATAGCAGCTATCTCATGCCATTGCCCTTATTTACGACAAAAAAAAATATTAAAAGATGGAATGAAATCAGAAGAATGGTCAGTTTATGTTTCAAATGTTATATGCTGAGTAGCTTTTCAATTCGCAATTTTGCTAATTGCAGATTTGAGCCCATCTCGCAGGTAAAGGATTTCCGATGGGTTTCGTTCAGATCGTTTCGCAAATTGCAGTAAGCTCTTGCTACGAATCAGAAAGAAAACAGCAACGATTAATGATAACAATAAGAAACTGAGGCCAGGTTTGGCAGAGGCTGCATGAGAACTACGAATGAAAATTCTGGAAAGCTACAGAGGTTGTGCATCCAAACATCGAAAATTTTAGCAACCAGAAATTTGGCCTGACTTGTTTGTAATTTCTCCGCCAACAGCTTTTGCGGTCTTCAGCTTAGGCAGCTAGTTGGATCTGTTTGATTACTGCAGCTTTCTTGCACAAATCGAACAGTTTTTCTTTTCTCTTTTCTTTGCCGCCACTACCTAGCTGGATGCCTCTCCCCCCAAAATAATTTTTCACTCTCCCACACTGAATTTCAAGAAATTTTCTTTCTTTTCCACCACCACTGTACTTTATTCGTTATACCGACGAGAACGACTTCGCACTTAGTCTCGTCCTTAATAATGGTTACATATGATGGTCAGGTCAGTAGACTGGCCTGCTTTCACTGAAGTTCAAACTGATGTTTATGGTCACAATACATCAGTGTGAGAAACTGTGGCGCTTTTTACATTTACCACATATCTGGAACACCTACTTGTGATTTTCGTTACTATGGCACTTCTTAATTTTTTAGGTAATCAGAAATCGACATCATATATGTTGCAAATAAAACCAAAAATCAGCAAGTTGAAGATGAAGTTTATCAATTTACTCCCGAATCTATTTCGACACAAAAAGTAAATAAATTGTTCTTAGAGATATAAAGATCTTTTTTTCGGTTGGTTGTTACTGGGGCTGGGGACGTGGAGAGAAGGCATAAACAAGGCAATCACGAAACAAAGTAAATAGTTAAAGGGGAACTGAAGTATTACATTGAACCATTTTTATATTGCAGCTTATCGCTTAAATATCCATGTTTCAATTTTTTGTTTTGTTTTGTATTTTTGGTTCAACGTCGCCTCGGAAGAAAATGTTTCATACCCTGGTCTGACCCAGTTGCATCGCGGATCCAAAAAAATTGATACCATCGTTAATATTATGTCACTTGTGGGGAAGAGAAATCAGAAACCTCATTAGGCGCACTTGCCTCAAAACTTGCGTGTAGCAGGTTTGTCAAAATTGTTTGGCTTCCTATGGGTATTAAATTCGCCATAGCTTGGATGGGCTGGGGATTTCATAAATTCATCAATTAATATGTATTTTTTATCAAGCATTCACATAAACGGTTTTATATGGTCGTCCACGTTCTTTTTCTTTTCCCCAGTTAACACCTTTACGTTTTAAATATTCGATTTCACATGTGAAAGATATTTGCAAACCTTATCAGCTCAGTAAGTACGCGGGCAAACACAGTGTTAGCTTGTTCTAGGTTAGTATTAATTTCATTTTGAGAAAGAGCCGGTGTCTTTAGGCTTTTTCATCATCAACCGTGTGGATATAC